GATTCTAGATTTTTTCATTTAAGATGAAAATATTCCTTTCTCTATAATAAATATGATTGACGCTATATCGATCCTATTTTATGATACATTCAAGTGCAATAGCATTGGATCCGGACATTTTTTCTGTGGGTGTGGAATTCTAAAAACCAGCGACTTAACTTTCGCAAGACAGCTTCGATGACAGCGTAAACGGCGTCAGTTGACGATTTAGTTTACGATCAAATGCGAAAGCCAACAATAGGCCTTCCAGAGGAAGACCTGCAGCGAACTCTGTTTAGATACGCGACATCGCGGCGTGAACGAACGGTGTGTCACGACGTGAAAAAGAGTGTCCCCCTTCGATATCGTCTTGAAAACACAATCGTCCGCGATTCCAATCCGCAGTGATTATCTCTCGACGTTTCGTCGGGACGGGGACACAATGCCACCCGTTGTACAAGCGAGGAGAAGGGGGGGGGGGAGGACGCGCACCCCAATTTCTTTTTTCTTTCGGATCGTACTCTCCACATTTTTTTTTTGCGCCTGCACCAAGGCAGGTGGAACCGGCGAGGCGTAACGGGGGATTCCCCGGGTGCAGCTAATAGCGATTCAGCTTCCTCCGCCTCCCCCGAGTCGACGGCAACGCGCAGTAAAGTCTCGACGTAGGTAGGTAGGTACATCACGCCCGGATGAAGCTTTTCGAAGCCGTCGCACCATACGAACGGGTTTTTAATTTCGAAACCCCGGCTTCGGGACGCGTGCGCGCGAGCGCGAGCCCCGGGACGGACGAATAACCGGATATTAAACGTACGCGTACGTCCGAATGGAAATGGACGGGTTCGATTTATCCCGATTAGATTAACACCCGAATGCCGGCACGCGGATCGAACAACATGCGCTGGCTTAAAACCGAAGCTATGCCGCCCTTCGGTTTAAATTAGCGACCCGAAAAAGTTTGCATTATCTTACGAGATAATAAAAGAACTAATTACACGCACTCCGTTTATTTTTTAATATGTCCGCTTTCGATCCCCTCGGATATAATTGATATTTTACGTAGAAATTTTAAACGAGATGAAATTGTCCAGCGGAAAAGTTCCACCGCTTCGTTCTTTCGTAAATTCCGAAGAGAAGTTCTGTGAGTCCAAAGTTAGTCGAGTTCTCGCGATGCAGAAACTACTCTTGAACGTCGATATAAAAACGACCGTTTCCTGATTTTCCGTGAATCCATATATCCAATACGATCTTTCATCCGGCTTTATAGCAACGATCCCTCACCGCTCTTATATGGCCGTCAAAGTTATTCGCACCCTAAAGTCTGCGGGAAGGGAGCTCAGGGCGGAGATGTTCGCATTAACGCGGCTAATTTTCTGCGATCCGTCCATCCATCCATCGGACCTCGTATTAACGATGTACCGCACGTTCGTTGATCGTCTGACCGTTCGCGGTCGGCGATCGATGGTTTGGATTTGGGCCAGGATGACGCGGAGAGTGCCAGGAGAGGCTCTCTTGCGCGGTCATGGCTTTTCGGCAGGCAGGCCGGCAGGCAGAGATTGCCGGAGCGAAATTGAGGTCGTGCCACTGGCCGTAAACCTCTGAAACGCCGCCACCGGCCGCGCCATTCGGTCAATTATTCGCTTCGAATTACGGCCCTCCAATTGCGCGAGAGTTATAAGAGCAGACCGGCTGCTACTCCCATCCCGATATACTATACCGAGCGGCGCGGCGAACTACAGTCGATTGGCAGCTCGTTTATGATAACGGCCGGACGACACCCGGCAGTCACGTTTCGATCCCGCCAATCCCGAATCGCGAGGAGGATGCCCACCCCTTCATCAACGTCAAGATACACATTTTAATATGTACAAATTGTATTTTCGCAAACCTCGCTGGAGAATCGGTCGTTCTTCAGAGAGAATCAATCGCGTCTGTCGCCTCGTTTCGATTACGTTTACATGTTAATATTTTTATATTTATTTATGTGCACTTTATGCCAACGCACTACGTATTAATATTAAACTGCTAAGTTTCATTTTTAATTGACGTACATGTGCATTGCACTGTCACGATAAATCGATCGATAATTATACGTTTCAGAGTTAAATATTGATTCTAGCTTATTTATTGGCCCATTCACCCGCATGCATTCTAAGATAATAGATCTGTAGTGTGTTATATTTATCTATAATAGTCTTGCATGTATGTAATTTCTGACATAATTTTCATAAATCCATTATCTTAGATTAAAATAAAATATAGCTTGACTCACCGATACGAAGCGCAACAGCGGAGCAAACCACGTCGAACTGTAACACACAAATATATTCAAATTATAACGCTTGAAATAATTAATATTTAAAAAATTGCCGCGCTCTTCATAATTAGTCTTTAAGTAGATATGTCTAATAAAACAGTTATCTAATTTTGAAACATGGTCGTTTCTTTTAATAAACCTTTTTTCAAATAATTTGATAAGTAATTTCATAAATAATCGAGGTAGATATATATAATAAAACATTTATCTAATTTTGAAAAATGGTTGTTTCATGTAATCAATTTTTTAAGATTATTTTATAAATAATTTCATAAATAATCCAAGTAGATATATCTAATAAAACAATTGTTTAATTTAAAAAAATGGTTGTTTCTTTTAATAAATAGATATATCTAATGAAACATTTATCTAATTTTGAAAAATGGTTGTTTCATTTAATAAATTTTTTAAACTATTTTATAAATAATTATATAAATAATCAAGATAGATATATCTAATAAAACAATTATCTAATTTTGAAAAATGGTTGTTTAATTCAATAAATTTTTTAAAAATAATTTCATAAATAATTTCATAAATAATCGAGGGAGATAAAATATATGTAATATATATAATATATATAATAAAACATTTATCTAATTTTGAAAAATGGTTGTTTTATGTAATCAATTTTTTAAGATTATTTTATAAATAATTTCATAAATAATCAAGGTAGATATATCTAATAAAACAATTATCTAATTTTGAAAAATGGTTGTTTTTTTAATAAACCTTTTCTTAAATAATTTCATAAAGAAATGTCTCTCAAGTTTAAAATCATTCGAGCCAACGGATCCAAATAGGTGAGAAAACAAACGATTGATGCTACAAGTAACAGTATAATATCTCAACAAAAGTAAAATTATATTTACCTTGCAGCCGCTCCGCTGTCGCCCGACGCCTTCCAGGCCTCCTCCTCCTCCTCTCGGAATCCCTCGTTGCACTTCGCACTTTCACTCGCGTGCACAAAGTTTACTACGATCGTACGCGAATTAACTGTCGGAATATTTATGATCGCGCGACACTTCATACGGCACTCCCGATGTCAACAGTACGCGACGCGCACTTCCGTTGCACGAGAATAGGTACGAATATATTCTCGCGACGACGATTCACTCGCGAATTAATCGACGGGGAGAAAAATCACGCGACCGACTTCACCCGATGTCCGCCGCGCCGCTGCACCTGTTGCTCCCACTTTTCATCTGCAAACGACAAATAATTTATGCTCGCAATGTAGAACGAACGTAATCCCATATCATAATATATACTTGACCAAAGGATGAGCATTAATATTAAAGATAAATAATCGCAGAATGCAACGCTGAAGAGTTAGGCCTAGCCTACAATGAGTTGTTAATCGTTAATCAGCAGTTGGAACTATATGTCGGTCCTTTTTCCTTCTGGATAAAAGAAAAAGGGCCGACGTATAATTTTCACTTCTGACTAACAATTTAACTCATTGCAGACCGGGCCTTACAGTCCCTGCTCGCGCGACTCGAGCGATTCTCGCCGAATGCGCGTTTTAGCGGACCAAGGAACGAACAAGCGTCACGTTTATGTTACAAATATCGACGCGACTTTAATAACCGTCGACAATCACGGCTCTAGTTACTCATTGAACGCGTCGCGATACCGCCCGACGCGGACCCGAACCGCGACATTGCCGTTACTGGCCGAAGTGTTTTCAACGTAGCGCCGCCAACTTCACACCGACGCCGCGCGACGCAGTTAATAACGACAATTCCGACTCGAGAGCAACGAGAAGTGTTCCATGAAATTTCGCCACGCTCTGCATCTCGACATATATTATATGTATACATCCCGCATACACACCGCATTATCGACAAACGATCGACGTCGCCGAATACTAGAAACGAGGCACGAATCGTCCTTCTGCCATTAATTCAGGGAGGAGTAACTCAATAATGATGGCGGCTCCCGGCCGACTCGAGTCTCGTTGCGCGAACGTAACCGAGATAATCTTCAGATATACTGCAGCACGGTTCTAACGTATCCGAAAACTAGTGCCGAATGCCTTACTGCTCGCGCTTGAAACCGATTACTGCGAGACTATAGATGCGTCGCGGCTTTCGACCGCTGAAATCATTTCGTCCGGCGACGCGCGCGCGCGCTATTCCGCGCTCTCGACTCGAGAAAGACGGAAAAGTGGGCGCTCGGTGAAGAATCCGAAGGAACGAAACGAAAATGTATTCGATCCGCGCGGAACGAGCGTCGTCGGCGACGAAGCCGCGACGCAACTCGCTCGTTCCTCGCTCCGATTCTCTACTCCGGTCGGATAAACTCAAACGTACAACTGTTTGGACAAACCTCGTCTACTGGCTTCTATAACGCCGGGATGTAAGTCATCGATGGAAGGAAGTACATCGTGCGAGCTTACAATCGCTGATTGCGGTTACCGTAAGGAATAATGGTATTGGGAAGGACGGTAATACGACGAGACGCACGGAGCGGCACGGCTGCGCGCCCGCCGAGCTCGAGCTTCTCCAACGGAATGATGAAAAAGCGACCTCGCGCGAGCCGCGCGTAACCGCCGTACGCCGACGTAAACAACTGAGCGCCGCCCGCCGGTGTAAACAATTGAGCGTCGGCCGCCGAACGCCGCATACCACACACTCTACGAAATATTCCACGTATCGAAATTAATGTAAGTACGGCAGGTATTTTACTAGTTTGCTATGTTGTAATTTCGCCATTTATTTTGTGAACTCGTAAGACAGTTGCGAAATATCCCACGTATCGAAATAAGTGTACGACGGGTGATTTGCGTATGTGTGCGTTCGTTCCGTGTATCTCAAATTTCGATTCGTCTTACTAGTTCGCTACGTTGTAATTTCGCGATTGATTTTATGAACTCGTAAGACAATTGCGAAATATCCGACGTATCGAAATAAATGTACGACGGGTATCTTGCGTATGTGTGCGTGTATCCCAAATTTCGATTCAAATTACTAGTTCGCTACGTTGTAATTTCGCGATTTATTTTATGAACTCGTAAGATAAATGCGAAATGTCCCACGTATCGAAATAAACGACGGGTATTTTACGTATGTGCGCGTTCGTTGCGTGTATCCCAAATTTCTAGTCGAATTACTAGTTTGCTATAGTGTAATTTTGCGATTTATTTTATGAACTCGTTAACTGTCTAAGATAATTATTAATTTCGCACGTTTGCCGATTGAAAATGTATTGAATGCACAATGAAAATATTACTTGAACTGTAATTTAATGAGAACATGCTGTAATCTGATCGCTATAGCATGTACATACATTACAACAGTCCAACTATTGTACGCGGATTATTTAACTCTCTTAATGAAAATTTGGAATTAATTTACCCTAGAAAAATATAATTATGAACCTTGCAGTCTGTGAAATTACCTTTACTTTTAACACGTTAAATCCATTATTTACAATGAAGGATAAGATTTGTTGAAATTTTCATACTTATGAAAATATAATTATTATCGTTACTTCTTTTCAAATTGTCATCCTATTCCACCGAATTATTAATTATCGCGTAGCGCGTGCAACGATCGCCAAATCGCCCAAATCCTTCACAAATTCGACGATCAATGGCTGCATTCAGTAGAAAAAGCGGCTTTGCAACATTTGTAAAATTCGTACATTTGATTGAAGTCTGTTGTTAATTTCTGTCATAACTAAGAGCAATACGCCACTCAGATTTAAGATTTTTACAACAGTCGCAAAGCAGCTTTTTCCCGCTGAGCGCGGCCAATGCCTCGTTCGATGATTACAGATTACATCCTAATGTCGGCCTAACAACTCTCGCGTACGCATTAAATAAAACAGCCGGATCGACAGCGGTTGCGGGCTGCGCTCTGAATTTCAGATTCAGCTAGTATGCTGTGGCGAAACCACCGTGGACGGGCGTCTCGCTGCGCGAATGTAAACAAGGTAACCCTGTTTACCACAGCCCGGCGAGCGTTGTACGCGACATTACCGTCGCGACTTCGACGTTAGAAAATGTATGTCGAGCGTCCCATTGCTCGCATTTCAAATGGATTGCTAACCAAAACTATACCGGATATACCACGACTTTCGCTTACCGAGATCGCGTTATTCGCGACAACGCGTGCACTCTGCGCTCTTAATTCGCGGCAACCGAGCAAGTTACGTTCAGTGAAAACTTCAGGGGGGGCACAAATTGAAAGTATATTCGATTTGCGAGAACGGTATGTGGTTAATGATATATAATTATCCCCGTTAAACACGAGACGGTGATACAACTCGTTCGTTCTTTTGCTCCGATTCCCCGCTTCAGCCTGCGATAAACTCAATGATACACGTACACCCTCAGAAAGGATTTCTGTTGCCGAGACTAAAAATATTCTGGACGCATTTATATTTCTCGTAACCTCGTTGAGTATGAAAATAAAACAATAGAAAAATAAAATCAATCACTCTTATTCTCCTCTATCGAATTAAAAAAGATTGAGACAAGAGTAACCTATATAAATGTAAGTTTATATATTCTTGCGTTTAGAATAAATTTTCCCTCCATCTTACAACGCACGAACTTGGCACCACAATATTCGACAAAAGACTATCATTTTATTCTAGATTTTAGAATTTTCCATTTAAGATTAAAAAATTCCTTTTTCTATAATAAATATGATTGGCGCGATATCGATACTGTTTTATGATACATTCAAGTGTAATAGCATTGGATCCGAAATTTTTGTCTGTGGATGCACCCTCAGAAAGGACTTCCGTTACCGAGACAAAAAATATTCTGGACGCATTTATATTTCTCACAACCTCGTTGAGTATGAAAATAAAACAATATAAAAATAAAATCAATCAGTCTTATTCTCTTGTATCGAATTAAAAAAGATTGAGCCAAGAGTAACCTATATAAATGTAAGTTTATATATTCTTGCGTTTAGAATAAATTTTCCCTCCATCTTACAACGCACGATATATTGGCGCTATATTGATACTATTTTATGATACATCCAAGTGATAGCATTGGATCCGGAAATTTTTTCTGTGGGTGTACGCCCGCTTGGACAAGGCCCGCTTCTGTAACGCCGCGATTATAAGTCGATTGGAAGAATAATACATCGCGCGATCTTTACCATCGCTGATTGTATTTAACGTGGGAAATAATTGCGTTTCGAGGGATGATAATAAGACGACACACGGAGCGACACGCGCTGCCGCCTGCCCGGCTCGAGCTACGCCGCACGAATGAAAGCAGATGAACGCGACCGCGCGCGTACGCCGCGCCGACGTAAACAATGAGCACCGAGGCAACACGTGCCGCACGAAATAGTCACATCTCCCGATAAATGTACGCCGAATAGTCTCCGCGTATCTGTGTGATTCCGTGTATCACGGATTGCTCCCGACGCACGAGTAAGATAATATTCGCTATATTACCACGTCGGGCTTTATCTTATATTAGTTATTGACATTGCCGAAGATAACTAATTAATTCACGTATCTATATAATGTCGTAATCTCGATCGAGGGCGTTTTGGATACAACAAAGGGAGATGTTATTAGTACAACGAGAATATACCGCGATTAAATTGCCAGAAATTTTAATTCTGTTGGACGGATTATTTAATTCTTTTGATGAAAATTAGATAGCTGTTTTTAATTTTAATTCAATAATAGTATTAAATAATATTATTAAATGTAACGTTTATTTGAAAAATAAAATTCACCGTCGTTCTGGTCGGAAAAATGTTGAACGTAAATTATTTCTTTTAAATTTTCACGTCCCGAGAGAGAAGAGGAATGAAATTGCGCGATGTTAATGAATGAAGAAAATGAGATTAAAGCGCAGAAAATGTGGCGATTTAATTTTATTTTTCTCTGGATTTAAATCACACAATTTTACTTCTCTCGAGCCATAAAAAAAAATTGGGACAAAGCGGTATTATTGTGTGTATACATTTGCATAAATTTGCACCTTTTCGATCAAAAAGCTTTGCTTCTTAAATAAAAAAAAACCTTACATTTAATAATTCTCTTTGAATAATAGGAATATTTAAAATTTCGTTAAAAGAATGACTGGATATAATTTGCATGCAACAATTAAAATTTGCTCTCAGTCACCAGCTGATTAATATATCAGGAGTAATTGTAATACCAATACTATTATAATATTTTCCAACAATATCCAAAAGACAAAATCAGTTGGACGACAAAAATCAATCAACATGCTGTGAAACATAACAAATCGCCGTGCGGGTAGTTACGAGTTTAATTGTGCAAAGTTTACGTGACGGTCATTAATTTATTTTGACTGCATAGAGCCTGTAGCTATTTCCTTGTTTTCGAATTTCCACTTTTAATTGAATTTCAGCAAACGCTTGAAAGTACCGCGCACATACACACGCAGTTATTACGAGACTATCTATTTTTATTACTTTGCGCTTGCTGCACGTGACTTGGCACAAGACATACGACTCTTGACAGTGCTCGAAACGTGTATATTTTTATAACGCCCAGGACACTCTCTTGTAGAGTATTACTTGAATTCTCTTAGAATGCTAGGATACTTGAATTTATCTATCATATTTCTCAATAATGAACTCGTCTGTATGATACAAATTGATTGATATGTATCTACAATTACTTGTTTATCGCGAAATTATAAAAGTTCCTTTACTTCTTCATTTACCCTCATAAATGCATGCTGCCTTTTCAGAAATTTATTTGAAATTAAAAACGCATAAAGCTGATTGCAATCTCGAAATTGAACATCACGCGCGGCTTTACGATATAACGCGTGGCTTATTGCGACAACCTCGCATCCTGGGCCCCGTACCGCGGATCCGGGATGCAGGATACCGGAGATGCGCGAACGCGTATTGGTGGTGGTGATGGTGCGATACACGCGCCTATACCTTCCGCAGAGGACCTTGACAGGTCGAGCCTTGGGTATAGGCTGCACGGCGGTTCGCTCGTATATCTCGACCCACGCAGGAACATTCGTTAGTAAGCGATCTCTAAAATGGATACCTTAATGTGGCTTTCGCAAACATTATTACGGCTCCGCGACTCCGCTTTTCCCCGGCTCTCTCGCCCGCGCAAATAGAACTACTTTATTCGCGTCTCTTCGCGGTCGCGCCGCCGCTCGACCCCATTTTATCCCGGCTTCAAAGAAGACTCTGCGTCGCACTAACCGATATAAACCACGATGAATACGCTTGGGAATTATTCACGTGGCGCTCTCGCAATTCAGCGACAAATCCAAACTGTTCGCGCGGAAGAATTTGCGCGAACGTAAAAGCAGGGAAGGCAACAGCGGCGATTCCGCGTTAATTCTTTATGTTAAGTCGCGAAATTGTAACGCTCGTGTATAAATAATCGGCTGTCGCCGGTAAAGTCCGCACTCGGCGTAGAAACGTTCGTAACCTGTGCTCAAAATTTGTACTTTATTTCCTAACAAGCTTTGCGGACTGTCGATATCGGTTTGCTTTCAATTCCGCGGATCGATCCGTCATACCGTGACGGTTTAGAAAGTTTACAGCAAGCAACGATGACGGGTAACGTAGAGCGATGAGACGAAAAGCGATGCGTCAGTTGACTAAGTTGTAACATAATACAAAGATAAGAGATAAGCCCAGAAAAGGCTCGCGGAGATGCAGGCAGAGTTCCAAACATTTGTACGTGAAAACTTTTATGGAGAAATGACTTACGTATTTCGACGTAGTCTCTCTCTCTCTCTCTTCCTTTCTCTATCGCGACTCGCAAGATCAATTCAATATTCTACAATGCCCAAATAGAGAGAATGGCGGGACAAGGGGGTGGAATATCAGTTGACTGAGCTGTAACAGAATGCAAACAGAGATAAGCTGAGAGAGAGAATGACATGGATGGAGGAGGGGAGAAAGACCCTTCGCGGAAATGTATTGTACATATAAAACTCGTAATTGTGACCGCCCTTCTACACGAGCCACCTAGAAATATTCTTGCATACGATTCTAACGCATTATCGCGCATTATCTTGGACGCACAAGATTGATCTACCGCACTACAGCGTTTAAAGAGGAAGAAGCGACGATCATAATGTAGAGCGACGGGACGAGGAACGGCGTGTCAGTTGACTGAGTTGTAACATAATGCAAACAGAGATAAGCCAAGCCAGAGAAGCTTAGCGGAAAGAAGAGAGAGAGAGAGAAAGAGGGGGGGGGGAGGGAGAGTCGACAGTGGCGAGCGGTAGCTGGTCGACTGACAGCACCCAAAGAATTAGTATCTTGTATCTGGCGAAGAGCGCCACAAATCATTTGGGGAGGCTGTCAGACATACCTTGAGCTCAACGCGCAAGAGCCCTCATTCGCCCTCTCTCTCCCTCTCCTTAAGTTTCCTTTGTCACTCTCTCTCTCTCTCCTCTTTACGCTTGGCACATTGCGAACGGCACAGGGGCGCTTCTCCTTCCTCCGCCTCTCTCTTCCGTTCTCTCCTTACTTCTCGTCTGCTCGTGTCACTTCCTCACTCAATACAGAAAGAGCAGGAAGATCAAAGGATGCCGGCGCCACCGCCGCTAATGATATGCGAGCCGCTGCTGCCGGGCAACTTGGAAACTCGAGGACGCAAGATTTGGAACTCCCTCGGAACGAACCGTCGTTCGGAAAGTTCCTCCGACTTCCTTCCCGAGGTACGAGACGAACTGTTAAATGAAGACCCAGGATGCCGACGGTGTTGAAGCACAACAGATGCGTCGCGACATTTTCCGCGCTCTTTATCGATATTTTAGACGCGAGTTCACGATGAACTCTCTATTTTTTTTGTACCCGACTGTAGATGATCCGTCCTACTCGAAAATTTTAGAACTGATACACCCCCTTTCTTACGGCTCCACCACCTGCACCTTCAATTTCGAACAAGTAAGGAACAACGTAAGACACCTGCGGTGACCGTGCAAATTCTCGCGTGCCCTTCAATTGATATTATTCAGCGTTACCGTTTCCTGCGTTGTGCACCCTCATTGCCGAAGGGGTACTGCCTTCTGAGAGTCCACCGTTTCAATCGCTTAGGTTCGTGCGAATTACCACCTCAGGGCCTTTACGGTACATCAAAGGGACAGGGGACCGTGAGGGCGCGCCCTATTCGCTCGCGCGGGCCGTCTTAACGTATTCGAGTCCCAAGGCATCTCTTCTTTTCCATCTTCTCGTAACTCTCCCTCTTTCGCTTTCGCTCTCGTTCGCCACCTTCACCCTCCGCACCGTGGAAAAGCGGCTCGTTGCTCCTCAAGCAGGCATATGGAAGGTGTTTGACGTGCTAGCAATTTTCGAGGAGAGAATGCGGGGCGATTGATCCCTGAAAGCCCCGAGGATAAACTCGCGCGTTTTTTTTTTTCGCTCGGGAAGAAATATCTCTGGCGAGAGGAATCGCGTGCGTGCGCGCACGAATAAAGCGTTTACTCAACCGAAGGTCCGCCGTATCGACGCGAAATTCTTTCTCTCAACCCTCCGTATGCCGATTATTTGTTCACCTTCCAGCAACGTCTTAATATATTGGTGAATTAGCTTTGTAACAGATGCGTCATCGGCGGACGCAACGTAAAAGTATCGTCAATGATAAACGAAGCGACATAATTTCTATCTCGGGGTATTTTTAAATAAAAAAAAATCAATCTTGACAATAATAAACTCTCTCATAAAGGCATCCAAGTGCTAAAAATATTTTCGATATATTTTCCCGCGCAGCAATAGCTCGGTTCGATTAACGCACTCGATCAATTAGCGAATCCCTTCTCGTTTCTTGTTTCAGGTGGCGATTAAGATAATAGACGTCGAGCAAGGCAAGAAGGACTACGTAATGAAGAACCTGACGAGGGAAGCGAAGGTCCTGTCGATGCTGCAGCATCCGAGCATCGTGAGGCTCTACGAAACTATCCGGGTGAGCGAGACGCGCTTTAGGGCTGCAATCAGTTTAGAGAATTTCGACGATTGATCGAATCTCTTTACCCTAATTGACCGCGCCGAAAGTTTAATCGAGTTCTTAATAACAAAGACGATTCGCCACGGTCGGACAACGAGATTTAGCCGGGTCCGTTGTGCTCTTGTATAACGATCTATTCATTACCCGTCAAAAGGAAACTATGCCATTCCATCCCTATCTTAGTGACAGGCACTATCCCTCGTAGATTGTACGCCATTCTACTCGCGGCCACGCCACTCTCACCCGGTACATGACGTTCGTCAGAATGCCGTGACAAATCGCGAACGTCTTGAAATTTCGGCGCTGCCAGAGACCGAAATTTAACGAATGGATCCATCTCCCTGGATTTAATTAAACACACCACTTAGCAGAATTTATGAAGCAGCTTGACACGCGTTTGGATGCGCAGCGAAGTAGAAAAGCTTTTCGCCCTCTAATCGTCTCGCCTCGCGAGAAACGAAAGATGATTATTTCCTATAATCTCCATTTTCAATGCTATCGATTTTTTTCTTGCTAACGATGCAGACAGACTGAAACCGGTTGTGGATGGATCCTTTTATATATCGACGCATAAAAATCCGCGTTTGTTCATCATGAAATGAATTGCGTGTTTTTATTCGGGCTCCGCAAGCTTTGGGAATTGATTTCGCCAAAATTAAATTGGTTCCAATCCGCGAGTGTAAACTCGGAAATTATTATTTTGAGTTGCGATCCTTTCTGCGCCGATACAGAGGAAGCCCCGGACCGGTACCATTAATGCGTTGCATCGTACGTGACCCGGCTGCAACGGACGCGAACGTTGACCCAACACGCGGACTCGCGGGGCGCACGTGCACGCGCATACGTACGCACGCATATACGCACGCACGCACGAAGGTGTACGGGCGGGAACACGGGCGGGAGGAAAAAAAAACCCCGGGGGAGAGGACTCTCGTATGCTTGTACGACGTAATTGAATTCATGTGTGGGACGTCGATATCAGAGGCTCTCCCGGCGGCGCAGCATCGCGCACCTCGTTTACTCTGAAAATTTTGTTAGTCCGCGCGCTCGCTCGTCACGATCGAGTTACGAGGACGAGGGTGTGTACGCGCCGGGAAAGATAAAGTACGTAGGAAAATATGACGGGAACGCACACGCCGCCGCCGATAGCCCTTCCCCGTCTCTCTCCCGCCTCCCCCCCCCCCCCGCGTGCGAGATTCGAGAATTTCGGAGCTCTGCGAAATATTCCCGCGCGAGATGAACGGGCGGGAAGGGGGGAGGGGGAGGGAGGGTTGGCGATGTCCAATCGGGGGAGACGTGTAAAATTTTTCAAGCCGGATTCATTCTCTGCACGTGGTGGTCGGTGCACGTCGCCATTTTCCTTTCAATAACGCCGCGGTCAGAAAAGCTTGTAATTTACGAGTCGTTGCAGACTCATTTTGTAAAATCCACGCTCCCGATCCTTATTTGCAAAATTGTGCCAAATTGCTCCGGGTCGATCCAAACAAATTAGCCCGAGCGAATCACTCGGCGGAGCTGTATCAAGCCAATTTATCCCAATTATTGCGGAGCGCCCCGCCTGTCTCTCGCATCCGTGTAGAAACCGTCCTCCGAATAGACAGGTTCTCAGTCATGTCTCGCGACGCGCGATAACACGTAGGAAACGTATACGAATACTTCGGGGAGCGGAGCTGAAGTACGTATATACGCTGGAAGAACGATCGTTCCCGCGAGCTTTCATAAATGGACAAACGAGTTTCGCGATTGCACCGTTCGATTCTTCTCTCTCTCTCTCGGCGGAAATGATTTTATAGTCTGCAGATGGTATTACTTTCTGTGAGCGTTTATAAAGGGATGGAGGAGCGCGTCTTGTTTTATTTAAGCTATCCCGTCGAGGGGGAAGAGCTATCGGCGACGAGAATGCTCGCACCTGACGGCAAATATGATAATATCGAGACGAGACGACCCCACCCCGTCCTCCTTGCCGTCGCCAAATTGGCTATATATGACGTCGCCTTATATCTCATTTCCACGTCGTAATCTTTACGACGGTAAGAGGCTTGCCTAGGGTGTCGGCGTCTACGCGCGATTCCAACTGCCGATCCTGCTAGATCCTTCGGAGCATCTGCGCCTGCATGCAGATCGTAAAGTACAGTCGTTTTCCAGGCAAAGTCACTTTTCTTAGGGTCGGCCGCGCCGGTGACGCGATTTCGCAATGACAGCTCCGGTCCGTTTTCGAACAACGACACGCGCGACCGACGATACTCCGCCGGGGCACTCATTGAATATTCAAACGGCCACTTTTCCTTGCGTTAATTATTGATAGTGTATTTCGACGTCGCCGATAGCCAAACGCGCGAACGCGCCGACACATCTGGGTTTCTGCACTTATGAATAATTCATCCTAACGGAATATGGATTAGGTGTGCTTAATAGAAGAATTGGTGAACGCGGTTTACGTGACTAATGCTATTGAAATTATTTATTTCATGTATATATCTATACGGGAAGACCGTCTAAGGTAAAAGTAACTAAAATTTAAATGTTGCCGTATAAGGGCCAGTTTCACAAACGTCGGTTAACTGCTAACCGAAGGTTAACTGATCCTCTGTCTCTTCTTAGAGAACAAGATAGAAAAAGATAGGGCGTTGACTGAACTCTGGTTAACAGTTAACCAACGTTTGTGAAACTGGCCCTAAATAGTAGGGGCATCTATGTTTTGTGTTGCAACATTCGCCAAGTTTGCTGCACAAAACGCACATAGCTGTCTCCACTACTTATTACACCAATTGCGAGTATGACAACCACAGATATAGCTGTTCCAACCCTAACTAGACATGTGGTAACCATATCGGTCTCTCCGTGTACGCTCAGCAAAAGCACTACACGTTTAGATACAATAAAAATATAAGAGATGCGCTCTGAAAATATATATGATATACGCGAAGTGCAGTGATAAAAAAATGTCAGTTTATCGTAAATTCACGATAGGACATAACGTAGCAGTGCAACAAAATTTCATACCCTGCGAGGACAATGTATCGGCAGCCTTTTTTTGCGTCGTAAAGTTGCGTTTATTGCACAGCGTCAGTGCAATAGCGCACCGCCCAATACCCAACATTTTAGGCGAAACCATGACGTTTACGGGTTAGCGATATTTTCCTGCCTAGTCACTAGATAGTTTATTTTATTGTCCGTCGCATATACATAGCAATTTAAGATTATCGCCCATAAAAAGCTTTATGGAGAGCTTACTTGTATACGTCGCTATTAATTGCATGTTCTATCGTGACATTATTAACACTTTTAATTCTCCGGTAGATAAGCCCAAAAAGGCTTCATCTGAACGTCTCATTTCTGTCTCAAGGAAAATCAATTCACTCGATGATTCGATCGAAGTAAAAAGGCGCACATTTTGATCATAATATTATAAGAATGACGACAAAGAGATATCTTTATTTTAATTGACAAGAAGACGTTGAAGACAAATGATACAATTAATTTACAAAAAAGACACTGAAAATCTAAACCCTATCTATGACCGTATTTATTTATTCATGCGACTTTTATTTGTTTATAATTTGTCTCTCGACCTAAGTAAGTTTTAGTCATGCACCGTCTTCTCTCGAACGATGTTCTCGTTTATCAAACCATGACACTGAACATAATCTCAACAGAATTTCCTGCATCTTTCTCTTTCTTCTAACACTCTCATTTTTATTATATAGTTTCGTGCCCACAATCTTGTTTAGATCACCGAGATATACGTAAATCTATGCACGTGACTCTCGCAGGTAATATCTTTAACAATGTAACTTGTTTTAACCGTTAATTAAATACTTCGGACCTTTGCTACATACTTTATCTATGTATTAATCTAAAACTTTTCTACTTTGTATAATTAGTTCGCTTGAAAAAGACCCATGGTCGCAACGTAGCGAGTCTTGAACATAAAAATTGCCAGATACGGTCAAACAAGCTCGATGTTGTTTATTTTAATTATCTATTCGCACACACCGTAAGTTAGGGACCGTCATTCCGAATCACTCTGCGTAATAAGAAAGCGCGCACGCGTGCCTGTCGATTTTTACGAAGACGCATGTCCGGCGGTCAGCGTGTTACTCATGCTCGGGATATTGAAGGAAAGCCGCTTTAAGCGCCAATTAAGGTCATTATTGTCGGCCTACGGCGGCCGTAAACGTGCCGCTCGCGCGATTTTATGTCGGTACCGATGTTACGAGCCGACGAATCGCGTAGGACTTGCCCGTTACCGGCGTCCAACGATCCCCATGTCCCCTCGTAGGGGGACGAGGCCGCTATAAAAAAGAACGCGTCGACAACCGCATTTGCAGCGGATTATTACAACGAGTTGGAATTGCCTCGTTGCAGGGCTATGGTATCGTCTTAGATAGTAACGGGGCCAGTTTGAGCGAGCTTATTTTCGTCCCGCGAATAAATAGAGCAGCCTGTCCGAATTGTGCACAGTGCGGGAAAAAAACGATTGCGCGAGTATCTATGTTGGGAAAACGATATTATAATACGCGGAAAGGTCGGGCGGTCCGCGTTTACTTTGCAAGCAACTTTTGGAGGGGGAGAGACCGATGGAAACGATCCAGAGATCCTGCCAGGTCGCGGAATCGAAGGATACGCGGGCATTAAATTCGCGCTAAGGAAAAGTCCGGTTTAAATTCCACTCGGGAATAGGATCTCATAACTGATGCACTCTTTTTGGCACGGGTTGCGAAAGCGATGCTCGTCGTGCCATACGCTACTTGTTTCGCTCGGAGAAATGACTTTCACGTTCGGGGCTCTTTTCCCATCTCCGGCCTTTCGTGCCGTGCCCTCCCCTCGTTTACATGCGCCGAATTTACGTTCCTGTTTTACTCGTGCCCGATGATATATCGAAATCGGGTATCTCACGTTCCACGTTCCCCCCCCCCCCCCCCCCGGTTGATTCGGTTTTGGCAAGCGCTATATCTACAAGTCCCCGTCAAAACGAAACGGCGATTCTAGCCAAGCGAGATAGAGCGGTGCCGCATCTCTGGTGAATTGACTTCGCAAGTGGTCGTCGAACTCGCAGAAATTCAGTTTCTCTTGGCTGGAAGTTCCCCCTCGTCCGCTTTCAGCACGCCGAACAGAATAACCCAGGGTAAAGCTTAAATCAAGCAAAATGATATTTTTGCACAAATTTCTCTCGCAATCAACCGTCCTGGCGAGTTTTCTCCGGCCGACAAGTACTATGGCAGTTTCTCAGGAAATATATTTCGGGATTTCCACCAGGAGTCTTTCTATCAAGAATTCATTGTTAAATCTGTGAAAAGAAACGCGCGATATGCGTACAGCGATTACCAAAATCGTATTTTGCGAATGGCTTGAACGAGCGGCCCTTGGGATAATGCGACAATCGAAGGAGAGACAAATTGAAAACCTCATCTCGTATGACTTGGCGCTTAACACTCGACCGCTAATACGCGCGTGCGAAATTCATTTAACCGTCGTGATCAACGCGATTCATAATTAAAGCGGTCAGACCGATGCGTCCAGCTCCCGAAGAATTAAATAACCATCGGCGCCCGGTTGAACGCCGACTCGCTTGGGCGCGACGAATCGCTCTGGCCGTAACTCTTCGGCCACGCGCGAACGCGCCGCTCCCCCGGACGTCGCCGCATGCATATCGCTGTATTAAGGTAATCGCTTAATCGACTAGGCCCACGCGCGTGTCCCGCGAGCGAGCGCAAAATTCAGGAAACGCTTTCTCGATAATTACGATGCGCCTCCACCTCGTGGTGCATTTTAAATACACGTGATTAATTTCGCGCGACCGGTCCCGGACTCGCCCCAGCTTGTGTTGCTCCGTTTTCATGGGCGGCGACTAAAATGCACGGCCGCGCTTCGGCAGCGAGCCGCGTGGAACAGGAGAAAAACGAGAAGACTGTATACACGGTGTATTAACGTTATTTAAGAAATTTAAAGCGCGCAAATTATCCTCTATAAGCTGCTTCCTTTTTGTTACGTGCAATTCACTCCTCAATTAATTCTGAATTTCAATCGCGTCTTGCTTAAACGTCCTGAAACCAAAACAACGATCCAATATGATGAAGCATAAATTTAAATACGTTACTTAAAAGTTGTGATACCCTTGCTGTAACTTCAATTTCATACTTCTACACTGTTTGTCTGTGGAACAAGACATATCTACTGATCTCTTTCGCAAGGTCGTATCCCGATTTTACGCACGTTCCAGTTTTTCAGCTTAAAGCCTCCGCTACAATGATTCTCGGTTCTGTCTACAATGGTCGTAGTCGTAAGAATAATCGACTGCGATTGGTCAATTCTTATCGAGCGACTACGACTACGACCATTGTAGACAGAACTGAGAATCATTGTAGCGGAGGCTTAAAGGCTTATTTTGGACCAGAGGCAGAACAACCGGAAACTGCGTAAAATCGAGGTACGACCTTGCGACAGAGATCAGTCGACGTGTATCTTTTGCATCCGCGGCATTGGAGTGCGAATACCCCGGGATTGTACAGACCTAAGACTCTCGTATGAAAAAACATCGCGAGAGTCTGAGAACCTAAAAGACCAAAGATCGCAGAATCCCGTGTTATTGTATCTCCGAGGCCCCCATGATGGTCCCGCGCTATCGACGCGGAGAATCGATAACGGTTTAATTGAACGCTTACTTGCAGTGCGGATCCGTGTACTATCTCGTGACGGAACTCGCGACCGGCGGCGACCTGTGCACACACATTAATGAGCAGCCGGCCGGTAAACTGGACGAGAACACGGCGAGGCTCTATGCCAGACAGCTGGTCGCCGCGCTCAAGCACATGCACTCGAAAGGAGTCGTTCACCGGTGAGTCACTCGTGCTTTAGTCGCGTTGCGCGCGAATTTTCAGGCGGTCTTTCACCCGATTCCGATTCGCGACTGGTCCACGCGAAACTTCCTAAACTTCTCTGCAGGTGTAGACAATTGATGGAAAATCTCTATTCTTTCTGATAAAACGCACCGAAGTCTGACTTAAAATCACGAGAGAGAAATTTCAATTCGAGAGTTACGAGATACATTTAACGTTAAATGGTAGTGGAATATAAAGGAAGAACGCGGTCAGATTTATGCCAAGAGGAACCCGGCGTAAATCTGATCAGAAAAATGAAATGAGAGGAAATGAAGACACTTAATAAAAGAAGGACCCCGACTCGCTGTTAACATACGATGTTCGTCGACGGCCGTGTTTCTGCGAACGGTATAAATTGCACTTAAGATGCAACAATCTTACGGGGATCAGCCGAGCGCGATCATTTACCCGCGTCGTTTTCTTCTCCACGGTCTAATAATATTCAACCGCACGACGTGTCGTGCCTTTTTTCTCCGGATGACCGCGGTGATGTACGGCGCTGGCCGGCCGTATCGTTTAAATAAAGAAATCGTCCGGCGTATTACACACGGGGGAACGCTTGCGATCGCGACCCTGGAGAGCCGCTCTCTTTCTCTCTCTCTCTCTCTTTCTTTCTCTCGCACTCCCGTCCGGCTCGTCTCGTGCGATCGCACCGTGTCGATAACGACGCGTGTTCCTGTTTATTACGAGCGGAATTACACTCGCGAGGATCCTTGCTCGCGCGTTTCCTCGACCGGGAATGCTCCCTCGTCGGCCCGGCTAACGATTAAAAGCGGGCTTCCTGAATTAATTGACTGGCAACGGGCAGGTTCCCCGTGTATTGCGCGTGCACTAATTTTGTTAGCGTTTAAATTTATCGCGCCGCGAACGACACCTATTTATACCTTGTATCCGTGGATTATCTTGAAGGCACTTGGAAATATCACCCGGCGGTTTCCGACGTCTCGCGTGAATAAGTTACCGCTATGATTAAAATTGAAAACACAAAATATCATTTATCGCTCCTATTTTTCACCGCGTATTATATTTTCATATCGCGCCCCCCCCGAGTTAGCATATTGCTCACGTGCGAGCGAGACTGCTAAATCGAAATCGCGCGCATCATTTTTTACGGCCAATCCCTTCGGCATGTACAGGGTGTCTCGGCACAACGGTGTTTCTTTTTTCTCAGTCATTGACATCGACCCAAAGGTGGCAGTCGCTTCGAAGTGTGTTGGGGGGGGGGGATAGTTAGAACTATATCTCGGAGCTAGCTCTAAGTTAGTATCCGCAAAATCTGCGAGTATCTGCGAAGAAATATTGGATATTCCACGCACCTTGTATATATCTCGCTGTACATTAGCGTCCCCGGCGCGGAAAGACGCGTGTCGCAATATTTCGGCGCGCGTCGCGATGTCGCATGCATCATCCGGGAAAGGGGAACCGGTGATTTTCAACATGTTCGCGAGGAAGGCGCCGTTCCGCTTCCCCCGCGAAAGAGGAGGCGTAATGACGCACGCACGTGACGCGTTACGACGTGGACCCGGTAGTTCGCTTTCGTTCGCTCACGAAGGATCAGCGAATATAAAGCAGCCGGCAATATGGCGTACGACACGGCAGTTTGTTTTCGTCGAAAGCGCAAAGTCTCAATCTCGGATGATGGTGATAGATCGTCGCTCTCACGGACTCGCACGTCACGGGCGAGGGGGGGCAGCGGGGAGGGACGGAAAGGGTGTCGGACTGCGAGGGATCTCGCAAGGAGGGTTAGGAAAATCGCTATAAGCGATCGCTTAACCCCTCGAGAGATTAGCCCGTTTCTCGTTCGCGGGGGGAAAGAGGGAGGCAATGCTTCCTGCTAATGGAAATGGAGAAGATTTGGTGCTAAGGATAGTTAACGATCACTGCCCGCGGATTCCTTCTTTTTTTGCCACGCTGTGTATTCTTAGATTAAGACAAACGAAGTCAGTAGCTGCTTCGACTTATTTCTGATAAAGAACGTTTCAGTTCTTTCTCCAGAGCGCATTATCTTCGTTGAGTTCGACTGTTGTTCGCCGTTTCAGAATTATCCTGATAAATTATGTGAAATGTTTGCGACTAATGCTAGCCGATATTCTTCATTGAAATTCTCGCGTTTAATCAAACTATAAACGACCGACTAGAGATCCCAATAAGTTGCCAAGTAAAATTAAACATGTTTACATAGACTGTTTCCTACTTTTAGAGTTATCGAGAGAAACAATTGCTAACTGATAACGAAGATAGGAATGTTGGTCTTTTATTAAAGAATTAAATTGTTTGCGCTGTATTTTCTCTTGATCCGATATTGTCATATATCGTCACATACAACTCCGAGAGATTCTCCGCGGATGTTCTCGGCAAGCGCCAGATCGTGAAGGGAAGAAGGGAAAGAGGACAGCAGCTTTGTACAGCAGCCCTCTTCGCTCGGGACCGCCAAACATCCGCAGGCTCACGTTTTAATTCCGACGAACGCCTCCCGTTTGCTCCGCCATTATTCGCCGGACAAAGCCGTGATCCTCGAGCCGCGAGGGCACAAACTTCTTGCGGGATCCTCACGAGCGGGAGCAGGATTACGAGTCCTGTACTATGTGCGCTATTCTGTCGGAGAAGAGAAAGGGAGAGAGAGAGAGATATATAGGACTCCTGGTATATCTGATGAAAGCCGCCTCGCGTGTTTATCGACGCTTTTACTTACGCGGCAAAACTAGTCCCGACAAGTAGTAAGAGTAAACGGCAAAGCTGTAAATCGAGTAACTATCGCGTTGCACGCCGACGGTACCCAACGAAACCGGTAGCAATTATTCTATAGGTTTGTCTAAACGCCTGTTTCAATTAATTGCAAGTTATTCTCCTCTACAACAGCTATACTCGCACGATTATTTCTCTCTACAAGAAAAGATTACGTTGCTACGGGCTTTCTCAATTGATTTGTTTTCAGTCTTTAAGCGGTATTTATTCATATCTGCGCAGCCATCTAAAAAGGGAATATAACGAAATATTAATCTAACCCAATAACATTTTCCAATTTCCATAAAAGAGTATTATTAGAAATTGAGAATGAATATCTATCCATCTACTTCTTTGCGTCTGGATGCGAGAGACACGAAAAGACTCCGCCAACTTATTTATGACAAGTTTATTCACCGTTCCTGGAGAACGGCGCTTGCAGTGCTACCGTATGGTGTCAGGTCAAAGTTCGCCGGTGTAGAAAAAAAGTCAGGCGTGTAGGCGGTGAATATTCAACAGAAGCGAATGCCGTTATAATCCAGGATGAATTCGCAGCGAGCCTCTATTCTATCTGTTTCTTCGCCCGACTCAGATCACGTGCGAGAGACGAGCGGGAGAGGAAAAGGCGGAAAAGCATCTCGGAAAGTATCAGCGACCGGCGGTAGAAACGTTAATGGACACGGGCACTCGGTTATCCGCCTAAGTATAGTACTTACGGTGCCTGTATATCCTTCGGCCCGTTATACGCGTAGTTTCGCCAGTCCAAAGCGCTTCCGCCGGCTGGCTAATCGAGTCTATGGTCGGCTAATTGGCTCCGTTCGCCGCCGGTGACCTTGATCTCTCGCGGTTCGTTTTATTTCGCCATTTCTATTCCACCAGCGTGCCATCTCGTCGTCGCCCGGATGTCGCGTCGAGTCTCATCTCACCCGCACGGAGAGTACAATTACCTCGCCCCGAGAAAGTTCTTTTTTCCCGTAAGGACGAAGATGGGCGAGAGATGGATAACGGATGGTTACATCGCGTTCTCACGCATGGCAATTGAGATGTGGACGAATGTGCAATGCGACAGATTGAATATGACATGGGAAATGTACCTAGTATTGATTGCAGCTAATGCAATAAATTCAATTAAGCCTCTTTGCTAGGTTAACATTATAATATGACATTATGTCATTAACTGTGAAACTTTGGAGTTTTACGAATATGAGTATATTATTGATACCAGTGTGTCATAAATATCGCAAAAGAGAAGATAACTATGTGATTTACGGTAACTTGTTCCGATTTCATCTAGTTATAGAGTTCTTTTACATAATATATTTTTCATGTCAATCAGTAAAAAAAATTGATAATTAACAAATATTATCGCGCCCTTCCCCGTCGTCCATTCATGGCGAGTCGAGCATTCAAATCTCGCAGATAGAAAGTCCTCGGTGCACCGCGGCACGACAAAAGTCGACGACACATGTAATAATGCCAGATCGATCACCGAGATCGATCGGCGTGACGAAACGGGCGATCGATCGATCGGCCGATCGCAAAAGTGCAACGATGCCCGCGGGTCTCACGACACGGCCACGCGGCGGTGTGCACCACGAACTTTAGCATTTGTGCTAACCGCGAACGGGGCTGCTTGATAATCCGCATTAACATGGGAATAGGAGTGCATTTCGAGGCCGGTGCCGAGCCTCAATAACGTATTGCCTATTACGTGGAAAACGATACCGCTCAATATCTCGCTCTCCGCACACACCTCGGACACGTCCGCTCGTTGCGACAGCTCTCCCCCAGTTCTTGCACCGAACAATTTCAACTTGAGGCCGCGGCGATACTGAACCGGCAGTTATGCCGGTTTCATACGGAGAAAATACATTTATCAATAAATTCGGAGACTGTGATATATTATAAAAGTATATGATCGTGAGAGAGCGTTGAAATGTTTTAACGAACGTACGATATTCTACAAATGTTTAATTATATTACATTTGTAAACTATTGCATTGATAACAATCAGTTATTCGATATTGTTTTTTCATTAAGACTCGGTATGCTTAATTTTTTAAATTAACAAAATACTCGGTAAAGAAGATTTCGGAAGTCGGAGAATTACAATCTGTTAAAAGGGCCTTAGGAATCACCCTAGTTTCTATAAGGAATTTATAATACGCCATTTTATGGCTCCTGTGAAATCGACCTTACTTTCGCGGTCATGCTTAAATATAACTCACCAGCG